TATTTCTGGATGGTTATAAAATAAAAAAAGAACTGACACATTATTACCAGTAATTTGCATGCATGTTTAGAAGAAAAGAACAGCGCTGACACAGCATTAATAAGCCCTGGAAGATTAGAAAATAAAAACTGCACACAAAACATGCCTGGTTAGTAAATAAAACACACTTGCCTACCAGAAGAAGTCATTCGCTCTCATCTTCCTCTTGCGCACTAAAGCCATTAAAGTCTTCTTCTTCAGTGTCGGAGTTGAACAGCCTCAGAAGAGCTTCGTCACATACCTTTTCTGTGGCGATGTCCGTGTTGCTGTCATCATCCCCGGGTGAAGCTGGCTTGAATGAGTTCTTCCCGTTGCCGTCTCCAGCACCGAACCATGGTTTCATTCATGCCAAGCTTAGGGCGGCAGCACTGTTTCCCTCCTTTACTGCCAGATCGATGGACTTCAACTTAAATGCAGCATCATATGAACTCATACGTGTAGTTACCATGATGAGGGGGTATGGATTTCAAAAAAATTCTTCGTCGTGCCGGCTGCTTGCATGTGCTAAATTAAAATGAGCACTTTCTTCGATTCCCACTTTTGACTTCCACCTGTTTCACTTTCTGCTAAAGCGCCCCCTGGCAGGTGAAGGAAAATCTTCAGTAAAGCTGCACCTCATTATAAGCTGCACGGTTCAAAGCGTGGGAAAAAAGTAGCGGCTTATAGTCCGGAAAATACGGTAATTTTCACTTCTGCTCTTAAAAAACTGTTGTTTTTTTTTTTTGCAGTTAAAGCTAAGCCTTGAGTTTGTTTTGCTTAACAACTTGTCCCTTTATCATAAAAATGTATTTCATGAAAACAAATTTACTTATTTATGTCTAAACAAAAACAAGAAACATACAGGCTGATTGTCAGTGAGACAGGAAACCTGCTCTGCAGCTCAAATCTGTTCAGAGATTTCACTTGTTCCTTTATTTGCCTTACATTTGAAAAAGACTGCAGTTAAACAGCATAGCTCAGGAATAAAAGTAAAGAATAATCCATTTATTCATGTATTCATTCATCTATTTAGTCGGCGTGTCTGTCATTGTGACTAAACCAATCGTGCTGAAGTGGAAACGATACACATTTGCTCAAGGTCCAAACAAATCAGACTGAAGAGCAAATTTAGTCCGATAACAGTATTGTTAGCCATCAAGATGTGGTTTTATTTTTATTTTATGTTATTCTTTCCCTACTCAACTTTATCTTTCTCCCTGAATGAGTCGATCTTCTTCATAACTCAGCTGAATTGTGCTATGCCATGGGGTCAAGATCGCAATTAGAATCATGAGCTACTTTACTAATTTCATTCAGGCTTTTACACTTGCTGTAGCTAACTGCTATAAAAGTCACAGACCTGAAATGTCTCTTTCTCCATCATGAGCTGACTTATAAACTAACACATTTTAACTGTTGCCTCCTTCAGATCGTTCTTAGTCCATGATCGACGTGTGTTCTGCTTTGAGTGATAATATAAATGTACCAACACGGGATGGTGGGTCAGTTTTCACCCACTTTTAATCAACTTAGAGGTAGAGACGAGAAAGGCATGTGATACAGTAAAAGAAGCTGAGATCACTTTGCATATAGGCTGTGAAACCAGCCGGCAGCAACATTTAAAAGCATACAAGACTAAATAAAAGCATTTTTGAGAAGAAAGAAGCAGAATCTGATGCAACGGCTGAGTCGTTGTGAGTCACCACACTGAGATCACTCTTCACACGGTCCTGTGAGCTCACCGCATCAACCAGCATGATATGATTCACTTGTCAGCTGTAAAGGGGAGGTGTTGTTTACATGTTAAACTGCCAGATTACCTTCAGAATGTGAGACTGATGAAGTCATACAGTAAACAACTGCTTCAGGTGATCAAGGTAATTTCAGCTAGAGGAGGCTCTTTAAAAATATTGAAAATATTTTTATATTCATTACATATGATTATAATCAGTCACTCTGAGTTTTTCATGCAGGCTGAACATGAAAATAGTCTCCTACACCTATCTCCTGCATCAGCTTCTGATAGAAAATAGACGGTGAAACTCTGGGATTAGAAAAGCTTGACAGATATACGTCACATTGTCAGTTAACATTCATGGACTCACCCATCTTGACTCACGACAGGGAAGGCTGATGTTGGTTTAGCGTCCAGGAAACAGCAGAGAATGTATCAGCTAGTAGAAGCTAACCGTTAGCATTAGCAACCCCTCCACACAACAGAACTTGTGTTATTTGTGGAGATAAAATGCCAACGTTGCAGAGCAAATGCAGTCAGAGTTGAGATGTCTAAATATCAGGAAATAAGACTCCAAATCCTGCCGTCTGAAGCTCAACTATCTTGTAGTTCCTGAAACAGGTGCACTGGAGCTTTGTTTCCTGCACTGGAGTTTTGTTTTTGTAAACATGAAGTTAGATGTCAATCGTTTCAAAACCTGAAGAACAAGCCGACCATTTCTAAATCCTGACTAAGAAAATTGTGCAATTGAAAAGAAGTGGTTTTGCAACATTTATGTCAAATTAGCAGTAAGAACCTCAGTGCGCGCACACACACACACACACACACACACACACACAGTCTGTTCCTCCAGCAACATTAAAAGCTGAATCTGCTGTTGTTCTTTTTGCTGACTGGTGCCTGCTGCACAGCTTGAGATGAAAAGCTTCTTAGGTTTTTGAGATGTTTATTTGGAAGAATTTCATTCAGATTCCCATGTTTCCGTTCTCCGTGTTCCATCACAGGCTTCCAGGCTAAATGTTGAAGGAATATACAATCAGTGAACGAACAAGGCATTTGCACTTATCTCTAATCACGTGGTGAAATGAACTAAATCAAGCTACTAGCTAAAAGAAAAGAACTTTACAAAAGAATGACACAGCTGACAGGCATTGCTTTAAGAGTAATTCCCTACAAAAGTCTCATTTTTAACAAATTAGAATATAAAATACTACCAGAATAAAGTGTAACTCGTTAATGATATGGATTATATAATTCATAGTCCCTGGATTAAATCTGCATTACATCAGGATTTCTTCATCAAAACAACTTTGTTTAACTTTAAAGCCTCTTACTGCTCCACTTCATCCATTTACAGATTTTCATTCAAATGATTCACTTAATACAGATAAATGCACATTCTAAAGGTTTTATTGCGTGTGTTCCTACGGTGACAAGTTAATGTGCCATTAAACGGGAACCTTTGTGGTTTTTGTTTGACTTTAACTCGAGATGAAAACAACAAGGTTATCTTCGCTTTGAGGATGTTTTTTTTTTAGTCCTCCAGTCAAACCTGGAGGATTTCTAACAAATGAGACTCGTGTGTAAAGAGAAGTACGTCTTTGGAAAAAAAGAGATAAGTTTCATCAGTCTGCAAATCTGTTGATGGCAAAGCTAAAGTTTCTGTGTGTGTGTGTGTGTGTGTGTGTGTGTGTGTGTGTGTGTGTGTGTGTGTGTGTGTGTGTGTGTGTGTGTGTGTGTGTGTGTGTGTGTGTGTGTGTGTGTGTGTGTGTGTGTGTGTGTGTGTGTGTGTGTGTGTGTGTGTGTGTGTGTGTCATTTGCAGAGATCATCCCACTGTTATCTCTTCTGAATCTTGTGAAATGGATCCTGTTCAGTCACAAAGCCTCTGTGTGAAATATTAAACAGCGAAGGATCAAGTTTTGGATTTGAAAACTAATAATATCTAATTGAGCCGTGGTTTCCATCCTCTATTGTACAATCACACAATGTATAAGCATATTATTTTAATTACTGTTTGAAACTGAAGAAGTGCTGTAAAACAAACCCTGTGTTTTTGGCCAGAACTACAAGATTTAAAATGTAAAATTTGCAATAGATTATTATTTCATTGTGTGGAATTACCGTAAATGAAAAAGTTGTGTAGAACTAAAGTTAACTAAAACTGTAAAATCTGGAGCCAGATTATTGCAGGTGTTTAGGAATAATTAACTATATATTCAAATGACATATTAATTTAATCCTGTTTGCTTTTTAACATTCACTCTAAACCGGGAGGAGACTTTTCTAGATCCCATCCTTCTGTGAGTCAAAATTGCAAAAATAATTGTACTGACTTCTTTTTTCTTGTTCTTTTAATTGTTTTCTTTTCTTTCTTTTTTCTTTTTTTGTACTCCTCAAAATAGAGAAAAGTAGCATTAGAAACAATCTGAACATGCAAAAAGTTGTAAAAGTAGCAGCAGTTTCTACAACGATATTAACAGTTAGGGCAAGAAATGGCCCCTGGGCCACACTTTGGATGTACTGTCCCTAAAATGTCACATAATAATTTAAATAAGTCAGTTCAAGTCAAGATGGCAGAAAAAGGGCAAAACACACCGATGGCATGGGATGAACATCGTAAAATATTATATTTAGTTGTGGCCTCCTCAGGCTTTCTGGTGAAACATTCAGGAATATTAATGTGCTATCTCCTAAACTCATCTTCTATGTATTCTTACTTCCTGCTTGGACATCTGGGCTGTTGTGGCTCTTCTCTACTTTCATAGCAGCTTTTCTTTGTGTTTGTGAGGGATCAAGTGTAATTAATGTGTACATGTAATTTAAACAAAAAATTTAACGTTTCAAGTAATTGGACGTTGTCTTCATCCTACTTTGGCCTGCTCCATTAGCCTATACTGATTCTACTATGAAAAAAATTGATTTTGACTTCAGAATGTAAACTCTGATTTGGTTTGATTTGATTATGGCATTGTTCCATAACGAAGCCTCGTGAAAGGTTGAGTTGTGATGGCCTCTTATTGCTCTTAGCTTCATTTGTCTCATCCGTTGTCACATTTTCCACTGGTGGTAAATGCTGTTCTTAAACACAAACAATTGTCGTTCTCTTGATTTCGCATTTCTGAATGCTCTGTATTCTAAACTCCAATATTTGCTCTGCTAGACAAGCTTCAGAACTGTGTTTGTAAACCTGACTGCAGAGCTGGACGCTCACAGAACTTGGCCTAACCATTTAATTGAACTCTCTAGCTTGCCCGCTACTCGACAGAGGGCCTTCTGCAGCTTGGACCTCTGGGGTCGACCACCTTCCTGCCTGACACAAAATGCCTCATTGATGACGGAAGAGGACGGACTCCCAGTCTGAAGAAATGTGATGTCGTCTCCAGGATTTCACAAAGGCTTTGGGACTTCACACAGGTAAAGATGTTTGAAAAGAACAAACTCTGAGCTTCTTAGATTGATATTTTTAAAGACAGCAAATATTAACACATGAATAATAATGGATGCAATACAATGTTTTTTCTGCTCTTTGTTCTTCAGAATGGTCCAATCATTAACAGAGACACTGGTCGGTGTCTGGAAGTGGAAATGTCCAAAGATGCTAACTTTGGTCTGCGCCTGGTGGTCCAGAGATGCTCGGGCCAGAAGTGGATGATACGAAACTGGATTAAACATCCCAGACACTGATAGGACAGAGCAGTGCTTTGTTATATTTGGGCACGTTTTCAGTCACAGTGGGTTTTTGAATTGTGGAGCATTCAGGAAAGAGCTGGAACAAGTGTTGCTATAATGTGTTGGTTTTCACACTAAAGACTTAATGGCACACTGAGCTCTCCTCAGCACCCAGATCGTTTCTTACACTTAGCCCTAAATAAGAATATGATCAATCCTTCTGTTCGCCTGAGCTCCACAATCACACCAGACCTTAAGTCCAACTGCACTGTTAGAAACGGCCCACACCTCTGACCTTCAGCCATATGTATAGAACACATCAGCTTTGTGTAGTCTCTAACACTGGTTCAAAATCCTACGGTAGGGCCTCTCCTGTAAAAAAAAGTCTCGCATCACTGAAGAAAAGAAGTCGTGCTGGTGCTTATGTGTTCATTGACTTTTTTTGCGGGGCACACTGAGGTAAATTAGGAGAGATAATTGCTGTCAGTGGCTACGTGGAATGGATTTCCTTCAGAGGAAATTTGAGGAAATGGCTGTGAACATAATGTGGTGCCCTGGCCAGGTGTGTCATAGGATTTAAAGGGGCTGGCCATCGTCCAGTCAGGGGGAATTTCACCTGCTCTCCCACAAACCACCACACGTCTTTGTTTCTTCAGACCTGAGCGCTCACAGTGGACAAGAGCAATCATGTGCCTTTTTATTTTATTTTCTTTTTCAGATTCATCTGACCAGGGAATGTCAACCCCAAAAGCATGTAAAAATTATTTGCTAATTAAATTATAAACTAAAGCAATCTAATGATAGTAATATATTGTAAAAAGTGGAAAGTTGATATCTGTCCTCTGATAACAATTAGGATATTAAAATCCTTTTTATGACCTGTCTGTGTTTTCTCCAGGACTCACTGGTTTGTTGATTTCCTGTCAACATTACCACTGTTTAAAAAAAAAACACATATTCTCTTTTTTTCCATTGTGAGACCAGCTGCTAACATGACTTCTTGTTCTTTGTTGTGCCAGCTCTTAGAAACAGCTCAAGTCTCCATCAGACTTCTGGCCTTGTGCACTCTAATTGCTCTCGTCCACCCACTGGAGAGAGAGTATTCAGAAGGCAGTCAGTCTCCCACTGATTGTGCTCACAGAGGGAGAACAGAGCTTTCAAGTCATGTTTTATTCCACAGGTGCAGTCAGAAATTAGGTGGATGCAGGTTCACAACATGGGATGTTTTAAAGTGTCTGTTTTCCTCTAGCTTTAAAGGGGACATTTCATGCAAAACTCACTTTTTCCATCCTTTTGTGCTGCCATGTGGGTCTCTAATGCCTCTTTCAACACTCCAAATGTGAATAAAATCCATCCAAATGTTTTCTGTCAGTGTTTGGTTTTAGGAATTTTGTGCCTAAAACCACCCGTTTCAAAGATTCCCCATCTGTGATGCCACAAATGGGGAAAGCAGAATAAAACCACCCCTGAGAGGCAAGAGAGAGTTGCTGCTGGAGGAGCAGCGGCTCTTCTCTGAGCCCCTCCTGGATATCAGAGCTTCTCAGCTTATAGCAGCCTGAGCTGGGGAGGGGTGGGCGTGGCCAGCTCGAGCTTGTTTTCAAAAAGCTACAATGTCATATCTGCAAATTGTCTTAAAACTTTGTTCCCATGCCCCTCAAAACCAGTGTTAGGAGTAAGTGTCACGAACAGAACTCGGAAGACCCGTGAAGACGCCAAACACAGAAAAGTAGATAAAAAATGTATTTTATTTGGTGCAGAGACTGTGAACTATGGAGACAGGGACATAGACTCTGGGAACTCTGGAGACAAAGACTCTTGAACAGGCTGGACCTGAACCTCGTGGACGGTCTGGACCTGAACCTCATGGATGGGCTGGACCTGAGACGAAGCCTGGTGGATGGGCTGAGCAGGATGCTATGCGTCCTCCGGGACCACTGCTGTATCAGGATGTGATGCGACCTCCGGGACCACCGCCGAAGCCGGATGCGATGCGACCTCTGGGACCACCGCTGAAGCCGGATGCGATGCGACCTCTGTGACCACCGCCAAAGCCGGATGCGATGCGACCTCTGGGACCACCACCGGAGCAGGATGCGATGCGACCTCCAGGACCACCGCCGGAGCAGGATGCGGTGCGACCTCCGGGACCACCGCCGGAGCAGGATGCGGTGCGACCTCCGGGACCACCGCCAGAGCAGGATGCGATGCGTCCTCCAGGACCACCGCCGGAGCAGGATGCGGTGCGGGTGGGTGGTGTTTGGATGGGGGTTGTTGGCGACTGTTCCGGCGTCGGCGTCAGGTGGAGGGAGAGACGGCGTCAACAGGGACACGGGAAAGGGAAAGGAAACCGGATCTGATGGGAGCAGGAGAGTACTGATGCCCCGGGACAGACAGTGGATATGGACGAGGTGACCTGATGTCCTGGGGGTGTGGATTCTGAGGCATGAACAGGAGACGAGCAACGGCCAAAGGTCTCCTGCAGACACCTGGCAAACTCCCAAAAGGACACTGATCAGGACGGACGCACCAAAATATAATCCATAGCCCACACCAGGGAGTTACTACCCAGATTGGATATCATGAACGAGACCTTTTCATGATCCGAGGAAGCCAGGTCCAAATAACGAGCGCAGGCTTCAATATAAGTCCAGCAAGTTTCTGGGTCTCCACAGTATCTGTAATGGAGAGTTGTTGGTGTAGTCCAGGATTCTGTTGGATCCATATCAGGTCAGATGAAAAGTTGGAAAAAAAAAACTCCCAAGTACTGTGTCGGCATTGGGTCTAATTCTTTGGCCTGATTATTCTGTCACGAACAGAATTTGGAAGACCCGTGAAGACGCCAAACACAGAAAAGTAGATAAAAAACATATTTTATTTGGTGCAGAGTTACCAGGTGGGCGAGGCTGGAGACAGAGTCGGAGACAGGCGAAGGTCGTAATGGCAGGCAGCGTAAAAGGCAGGGGTCAGAAGAAAAACGAGGTCCGGAGGCAGAGATCAGGCAGGGTGGATGGCTGGAGAATTTACTTGCAGGGCTTTCAATAATCCGGCAATGACTGGGTAGCTGAATGGATCTTATGTAGCAGGGGAAGCAGGTGTGTGAGATGAGCTGGGGAGTCAGGAGCAGGTGAAGTGGATGAAGCTGATGACAGGAACAGGTGAGAAGAATGGAGTTGATTGTAGTTGCTAGGGGAAACAGGGCTTGTCAGGAGCTTGGTGAAGGGACCAGGTGAGCTGAATGAAGGTTAAATCAGGAGGCAGAGTAGGGTGAAGGATGGGAGTCATGACAGTAAGTGGTACAAAAGTAATTAATTACTGTAATGCATTGCTTCTTGCTGTAATGGGGAAATGTAAGCCATTGCAGGGAAAGAGAATGGTAATATTTACTTGGTACAGTTGTCAGTAACGCTGTAATTATAATGCATTTTAAACCCAGAATCAAGATGTAGGTTTCCTAAAAATTCTATTCGCAGGAAGCCTGAAAAAAGATTCAGTATCCACATATATGACATCATTTATGGACTCAGTTTTGCGGGCATTCTATGAGCAGAGAGGGCACAGTGGTAATGACTCAAATACTCCAGCTGCGTCCTGCGCGTGGCCGCTGTAACATTCACAAAATCGCTCCACCAAAACAAAGTAATTTGTTTGCGATCATTTATATTAGGCTTGGAGCCCCCACCCCCTCACTCCCTGCTCAGTTAATATGAGATGACAGCGTGCTGGGAGTACAGATTGTTGTTGTTTTAATTTGATAAACAATCATTTTAAAGCACTGTTATTATATCTGACTGTTTTTAACAGCAATCCTAGCTCAGATACCACATCACATATATATAATGTCATGAGCTCACTGAGCGTCAGATTACCAGATTCATATTGAAGTTGTTTTGATGAAAGTAACTTTAAGTAATGCAAAAGTAGTGTAATGCCTTACATTTTAAAATCAGTAATATTGTAATGTAATGAATTACTTTAAAATGAGGGTAACAAGTAATAAATAATGCATTACAGTTTTGAAGTTACTTGCTCAACACTGCTTAAAATATTCTAACATTGTATAGCTATAAATATATAGTGAGGATTTAAAAAAATATTTTAAGTTGTCTAAAACCCTAAACCAACATCACGGCTTGATAAAACAAAAAATAAATTAAGAAATAAACTACTGGACCATCTGCTTGTTGGTGGCCAGCATTTACCTGGGTCCCCCACTCAATACAAACCCATGCATTCAGCAACAGAACACCTGGTGTGAGAGGTTATCCACTTAACTCATTCATTGCCAGTGACGACTAAAGTCGACATTTGCATTTTTTTTACTGTGTGGGCATCTGAACAAGCCCCTGCACCGTGAGAGCAAACATCTCAGCTTTAAAGCAGATCTTCATCTGCATACATCACACGTCGGGTGATCAGGAATCAGAAAATCCATGTGTTAGGAGATCGTTTTGGGCCGTTGCTGTAAAAAAGATGAGGCATGAACCGGAAAAGCTTCTGCCGATCACAATTCAACAACGGATTATGAAAGAATGGATAACGTTCGAAAAAGGCGGATTCTTCCTGATGTAAGAGGTGAGTCTACTCTTTGTTTTGGCGTCAACATCATCCTAGTGCGCAACGTTCTGTGACTCTTAAAAAAAACTGTAAAATTGGTGAGAACACTGGCAGCAATGGGCTTTACTGATCAGGAAACAGCTGGCAGCGAATGAGTTAATAACGTCAGTGAGAGAGAAACAGCCGGCTGCTAGCTTCAGGACAAAAAACCAAAGTCCCAAAAAGAAAAATGCCATTTGATGTCACAGCAAACTAAAAATGTTTGGACCTAAAAAATGCCAACTGGTGCTTTGTGATATCTCATTTCCTCTGGCAACTCATGTTCCCATGTCAGGGGCGTGGCCTAGGATGATAGCTGACGGGTTTTAAAGTGTCAACTGCTGAAACGGCTCATTCAGGGAAGATGAAACTCGAGTATAAAACTGCTCACGTGAGAAGGATTTAGTGCACTTTATCAACACGCTGGGTACTAACCACGTAACTATTAGAAAGACATAAAGACATAAATCCCCTTTAATCTCAGTAAAGCCTAGTATAGTCATATTAAAAAATGACATGTGAATATTAGTTTGAAAGTTACTCATCTAATATTGATCTGCTTTATGTGAGTGATTTTTAGAGATGTCTTACCAGTACAGGAGACATATGTGAGATTTTCCAGAAGTGTAATGTGATTAAAAACCCTCCATTTGGACCAGGTTTTAGATTTTGGTCTCCCATGAAACTGAATATGACACCACTGCCTTAGAGAACCCATAACCTGAAAATACATCACTGGAGAAAAAAAATTACCTGAAACCAAACTGCTGAATAACTATCTACAAACATTTTAACTATGATGTTTGGCACGTGTCTGAGTAAAGACAGAAAATAATTTCATGCATCATCTGAGTAACAAAGTGAAGACTGAATTATGATTGAGTCATCACACCAAACCCTGAAAATGTTTCACACTGGTGGAACTTACTTTGTTTCTCAAATTGTCCATGATTAGTTGAAGAAACAATATGAAAAGGTAATGTTTTCACTGAACAGCAGGCTTAAACCAAAAATGTTCTGTTCATCTTCAGCATTTGCTGCCTTCACTTCTGTGTCCAATCATGTTCTTTCCACTATTCTCCAGACTAGAAATACTAAAAATTTTAGGCTGTAAAGGAAAGTGAAGTTCTTTTAACCCGAGTTAGCCATGCTCTCCAGCCTCCATGTTCAAAAAGCCATTTTAATTTGGTTTCCAGTTGGTTGACTCTGATAGATTGCCCCCACTTGCCACCACGTCATGCTTCTTTGGCTCTAATCATTTCATATAAGCAATGCATCATCTGTG